GCATGGCTAAACCATAAGATGTGCGTGAGAAGGTTAATTTGACTTCTTGGATTATTCCGCCAGTCTATGTCTTTTATCATTCAAATTTGTTTGCCCTGGATACATTTATATGAGACTCTTTGGTTCAGGCCACTCATCCCATGGTCTGCATATCAGGGAACGGTGCTCAGGATATTATGTCCCTTCGGAAAAACGCGAGCACCAGGTATATAGTAAGAAAGTGAGGAAAAAATAAAAACGCCTCCATCCTACGCAGCAAGTGCCGGCATCAGTCGTGCCTTGCCCCCTCAAAAAGCCAGCAATGAGTCCTGAGGCCTGATGGAATAGTAAATCGTCAGGTAAGCGCCCTTCTTCTCGGAATAGGCGAATGAGATGTAAGAGTGCGTGCCTGTGGTCTTGCTCAGGTCCGAACGCGGGCTAATCAAAGTTGTCAGTCTCCAATTCGTGGCAGGTACGGGAGTTCACTTACAAGCAACGAGCCATGTCGTCTTGGTACTTCTCAGCGACGGCCCAGCCTCTGGATCGGAAGGCCTGGGCCAGATTTGCGGAGATGACTGCGTCGCTGTCGGCGTACTGCCAGAGCGGCACGTATGCCTTCACCTCGGGCCACTTCGCGCCGGGCTTGAGCTCGAAGCCGTAGCAGATGCCCTTGTGGAGAGTATTCACCACCTTTGGCTCCTTGTTCCAATCATCGTCATGGGGTTCTGCCTCATTGTGAAGCAGATGCCAAATGCCCTGAAGAATCTCGAGGCCTTTGAGCGTCGCCTCGTCCTTGATCTGGCCGCCGAGAGTCACCACGTTGCGGACGACGTTGAAGGCATTTGACCGTGTGCGAGCGTACACCTTGACGCGGGCCCCTTCGGCAGGGTCGATGCAATCCAGGGCAATCATCTCTACCGGAATGGCGAATGGGCAATTCTTGAAGTACTCCTCCGTAGCGTTGGCAGACTGGGAGAGGTCGGAGCCCCGTGGTGACAGAGTGCGGATCGCGTCAAACGTAACGTCTTCGGTCGAGGCACCGGTTGCGATGTGTTTGAGAACTGGGAAGAAGTATGCCTTAAACACAGCCTTGCCGCCATCCAGGTCAAATGCGAGGAACGACGTTGGCGCACGAGCCCCCTTCGGCAGTCTGGAAAGAGCCATCTCTGACTCGGCCTCCGTCAGGAACAGAGCTGACATGAACTGCTCAAACCACCGCGTGTCCACGCCATGAGATACCATACGTAAAGCAGGAAGGACGGCGGGGATGATCTTCTGTGCAAATGGGTCTGATGCTGAGCCCCCATGGCGACCCATGGGCTCGAATGAGAAGCGAATCGAAGAGGAGCCCGAGTCGGTGATGTTCCACGATGGCTCGAACGGAGAGCCGTCGGCGGTGAGTAGAGGTTTGGTCGGAGCCGTGGCCGGGTGAGGACCCATACACGGGACGATGATCTCCGAGAGAAGCTGGAGGTGGGCGGCACGCTGAGCCGGCGTGTAAGAGCCGGCGGCCTGCATGAAGGCGTCCAGAGTCTCGGCGCAACGAACATTCCAAAAGTCTTGGTCGGGCTTGTGAATGTAGATGGAGCCTTGTGCTGGGAGACACAGGTCCTTTTCCTGTTTAGCCATGGCCCGAGGGGACAGGACTTCAGACTGACTGAAGGTCATGGGTGACCTCGGTGACCTCAGAGCTCTAGGAGAGAGTTGCAGAGGGAAGGGTGACCTGGGAGTGGCCGTGTATGCGGACGCTGCCATAGTGGGAGCCATTGTTTTGTTGAGCTAATGCAGATATGGTATTAGAGAAGTGTTTGCGAGATGAGATTATTCTTCGGTAACCCAAAATCAGAGAATGGGGAGACCGTCCAGGACATTATATCTCTGGTGCGGTACCTCCAACTCATCAGAGCAACACATTCAGCTGTGATTGCCTCAAGCGGTTCTCCCAAGGCTGATCCTGAAACCGTCTGTCATCGCGCAGGTGGCTGGGTCGTTACGGCCTGCCGGTGCTCTGCAGGGACAACGGTAATCCAAGACTTTGGTGAAGACAGGATGGGGCCAACATCAGGACCCTGCCGAGGGCGTGGCAGTCCGGGGACGCATGGCTGCCAGTTGCGAGTGAACACTCCCTACCGAGTGAGGCCAGCCGTCTGGTAAGGTCGACGGGGAGGTTGTCCGCTGTCAAGAGCAAGTGAATCAAAGGGGGTTCCCAGGCCGCCGGCCAGTTGCATTGAGGATACGGACACTCTCTTCCATGGTTCCCCCTCTGCCGGACTGCCATATTGGGCAACCAAACGAGAGGAACCTACTTCAAATCCGGTGGTGTGGTCCGGAGGCGTCAATCGGGACGTGAACTTGTCGACGACCATTTTGCGAGGAGAGAACGGGCCTCTGAGGGGCCCGGGTCTCCTGGTGATATTTCGCATTCGTTCTTCAACCGGATAAGGTGTCTTTTCTGGCGCTACTACCGAATAAAAGTGGCTAAAGATGGCAGCATGCGTTTTATGACGAAGTACGCGGACGGAAACCATGGAACCCAACAATGACACTGTCAAACAAATCAGTCAAAATGCAAGCTGCGGGCTGCGGCTGCACATGGTAACTTACAGATGCATGCTGGTGACTCTACGGGAAGCACAGCTGCTGTCATAACCAGCAGGACCCGAGGCCAAGGCCGCAGTGTCGGTGTGCCGGTGAGGCGCAGATAGGAGAGAAACACCGTTTAACGCCGTCCTACGCAGTAGGAGCTTGGTGTGGTCTTGGCAGGTACCAGACATTGAGATAGACTCTTGAGCTTTGATCGCATCTTTCCTTGTTGAGCAACTAAGCTAAGAAATCTTACCGGACACCCGGAGGAAGGAAAACAAAATGGAAGATGCTTTTTTGAGACGAGGGGTGTGTGAGAAGCTTCGAAACCTGGCTTCCCTGGAAGAATGGAAGATGAGATGAAAAGTCCACCCTCGGGCATCTCCCTACTGAGAAGGAAGGACATGGCTCGAGAAAGTCTGGCCTCTAGCTTCCGCAGAGGGGCGCACCAGACAAGGCGATCGGTTCAACCTGCAAAAAGAATGCAACCTGATGACAGCTTTCGGGAGACTCATGCGGGAAGAACTCAATGCGGAAGATACAGCTGTTGTTGGGGATGACCGGTGGCCTCGAATTCGGGAAAGCAAGCGAAAGGTTGCATCCAATGCCCGTTGAGCAGTCGGACTATTATCTTGGAAACTGTGTAAATCGAATGGATGGGTTACGGAAAATTGTTTCGGCCGGTCGGATTTTCGTGGAATGCAGATTATACCTCTCCTTCGCGAGAACTTTCTGTGTCAGGAGGAGGGATAGTTCGGCTTAAGTCAACGACAGAAATCCAATGCAAGGCGGCCTGCCAACTTGCTTTCTCTCGTGTGGCTTCATGGAGTTCAGAAACCAATATCTGGAGAGAGCTGCTTGGCCGGCTCGTTGTCCTGTGCATGGAATTCAGTGGGAGAAGGAGAAACGCAAGCGCACTTGCCCACGGCCCGGGGCCGCGCGGGAGACAAGGGCGAGGAAGTGCCATATTTGCTCGAAGCTACTAAGTCGGAAAATGCTTGTGATCCTCTTTCTCTACCCAACGTCTCAATCCGAGCCCAGTGTGTTCGTATTTTGAACCCATGAGGATATAGTATAGTCCCATTTAGGTAAGAAGCCAGACGTGCGGAAGAGATGTGATATGCTATCCATTACAACGAAGTAGATTTTGCAGAGTTACCTAGCCTGGAGAAGAATATCAAATCAAGTGCCCGGATGAGCATAATTTCTTTGAATCTGCCTGCCGAGAAAAAGTCCAGCAGTTCGTGGCCGAGGTCTCCTGCAGACCTGTAGAGCGCGAGCTTACGCTCTGAGAATATTGTCTGCGGGTTTCTGCGGTGACATCACGCCGCAGCGTCGTCTTCTATGCTTGGGTAGGAGGGACGCTCTGGTTACTGAGATGGAAGCCTTCTATGCTATGACTTGTCTGTGGCTGTATCGTCTCATACTTCTCGTGTTCCTTCTTCTATAGAAGCAGAGAAGTGGGCTGTGGGCTGGGATAGAACTCGAATGGGCAGAGTGCTGCGTCTTGAAGATTTCATCACGTTGCACCGAAGTCCAGACCAACCGTCCGAGCTCGTGTCAAAGATGTTGTTCTGGTGGAGTGGGGGGCTGCGAGGGATACTGCTGACTAAAAAAAAATCGAAAGGCAATGCCGACGCTGTGTGGCCGTTCAACTTCCTTCGACGTCCATTCGTGGGACGCTTTCGCCTTCAAAAGAACCGTCTTTTCCGACCATCATATAGCAGTCCGAGGAATCCCCCGGGCCGCATGTTGCGATACATCTAGTTATGCCGGAATCATCCATGGTATCCTAGGGCGACCCAATCGTAGTATTAGTCCCAGATATTGGCCAGTTGTAAGTAAGCATGTGGTCACTGTGTCTCATTACGTTGGAGCCAAGGCGTGCAACCCAATTTTGAACTCCAGATCAAGCATTTTTGATTACTCGGCCAAAGAATCTCATCTCAGCGCTACATACACTGCTCGATTCTCAAATCGACCTAGCCTCGATCCTTCAAACGATAGAGCAATTACACGAAGCAAGAGGCTTGGATTTGCCATCGTTTCACAGGCGGCACAAGAATGTAAGGTCCGAATGTCAGGAATGTTGACGCCAAGATCTCCAGTTAGCATAAGGATGTCTGACAGTTGAACTCTCAACAACGGGCTTAAATTCCTGAGTAATTGATGAGCCGCTCTAGACCCAATCACACCTCTATGCGAGAACGTATCTAAACTGGATCCATGGTATTTGGGCTGAAAGGCAGAGACAGCCACGCCGCCTCATTGTCATCTCACATCTGAATTTGCGTGCCATACCTGCCCCTTCTCCCTCTGACCAAGCTGGGCACTGGTGATGATGGTAAGCTAGTGAATAAGCCTCATGGTTTCAACAGAGTGAAACTCTTGGTTCACTCAAATAATTAACAACACTGTCCACACGATTCCATTGCAATCAGAATCATAATCTTTGCTTCTTTTGTTTGGATATATGTAAATTCCAAGCTCCCATCGCTTGCTATGCTGCAAGTGCTCCCATTATCTTTTTTGAGCCATCCTGCAGACGGAACTGTCCATTAACGATGCCCTCTTTTCGGCTAACGGTCTTCTTCGCCCTCAGCTATGCCTCCAACGGCGTGCTCTGTCAGGGAACTGCATACAATGTTCCGCCCATGGCGTACCGGGGATGCGGTATGCTATATAATACCGCGGCGATTATTGTAGCGCGAAACGGGACCGGCAATGGGCCAAATGTTTGCCAAAATTTATGCCTAGCTAGTACAAGGGAGTTCGCTCTCCTTCGCGATACATATTGCTACTGCTCCATAAACGGGCTCGACGTCAGATTCGTTGACACGGTTGGCGTTGTTGATAGCAACTGCAACTATATCTGCGACGAGGCTCCTCCCTCGGGTTCTCCGAATGCAAACTGTGGTGGAAATACGGGAAATCAACTTTTGTATTCTGTTTATGGCACGAGAGCGGTGCCCGTCGGCTTGACGTCTCCTTCCTCGTCGACCACCTCTACCACGTCCTCAACCTCATCTTCATCGTCCACATCTTCCTCAACCGACACCACCTCGTCTACGACCATATCCACCTCGTCTACGACCTCACCCACCTCGTCTACCTCATCTTCATCCACCTCATCCTCAACAGACTCGACCTCGTCCTCGTCTACTTCATCGGTGTCCACCTCATCCTCATCGTCCACAACCTCCCCTTCGTCCTCATCCACCTCGACGACATCAAGCTCATTCGACTCTTCCACGTCCACTACTACGTCTACCTCATCTTCGTCATTGTCGTCATCATCCTCCACCTCTTCTTCAACGTCATCCTCATCATCATCCTCACCCTCTTCTTCCTCGACAACATCCTCGACAACTTCCTCGACAACATCCTCGACAACATCCTCGACAACATCCTCGACAACATCCTCGACAACATCCTCGACGTCCCTTTCCTCTACGTCCTCCTCGCCAACATCAGGCACTCCGCTTACATCACCTTCGACAACGGTATCCTCGTCACTATCAACATCATCCACACCCTCATCCTCACCGACTGGGACCACTTCATCTTCCTCCCCCTCTTCCTCCAGCACTACATCCTTGAGCACCTCGCCTACAGGTTCGCTTAGCAGCAATTCAGCTTCTAACACTGCGACATTAAGTTCGTCATCAAGTACCTCAGTCACAACGCCAGTGACCTCAAACACCATCCCAGGTTCATCAAGCACCAGCAATTCTTCTACCAGTCTTACAACACCTAGTCCTGTTTCCACCAACGCATCAGGAAGTCTCTCAACTTCGACTTCTACTTCACCAACCCGATCATCATCTCCGAGCTCCACCTCCTCGTCAATAAGTCAAATCTCGACAACTAGTTCCTCAACGAATAGCCAAGCCACCAGTTCCATCAGCACCCCGAGTGAAACTGCAACAACCTTTCCATTTAGCTCAGTAGGATCGCAGACACAATCGGGCACAACCAGCACCTCATCTTCCTCAATATCATCATCAACCTCGAGTGCATCTACAACAAGCTCTCCTGTTCTGAGAGAGCTCTTTCTTCTCACTGTCTTGCCGCCATCTACTACGTCTACCGTATGAAGTTCGCACGGCTCTCTAGTAGCATTTAGGGGAAGATAGCTGGGCGGTCTTTTCGTAGTGAGTTTCGACGGGACAGATTGTCCTAGGCCTGGAGATGTTTGGCGCAGGTCCGTCAGGTTTGGCGCATCATTCGTGATGATCGCCAAATATTGGACACTATCAATCGTGTGTGACTCATTAATGATATGCAAAGATATGGCCAGGCACTAGCTTACATGGCATCTTGAAAAACAAGAAGCAAACAACTCCTCTTTCAATATCGTGCTCCTACAGTGGCCCACCCGTCGTCCTCCACCAAGGTACGATGAGAAGAGGCACGAACATGCCGGATGAACTCACCAGACTCTGGTATCATGAGATACCACATGTACTTGTATTTCCTGCCGCCAGATCGCCAAATCCTTGATCGCAACATGTCTCAAGAGCAAGGGTGTGAACAATGGCTCTCGAATCTGACGGCTGACTAAATCCCGCATGTGGATCGTCGTTGGCCCTTACTAGCGCAAGCGAGCCCGCACATCGTGGGTACATATTGGCTATTTTTTGCCAACTTGAACATAAGCATCTGTAGTGTAGTGGTTATCATCCTTGCCTTCCATTCTTCAGACTGAATAGCAAGGGACCCGATTTCGATTATCGGCGGATGCATACAGACCACATTTCTCTTTTGTCTCTGGACGGTTTGTTTTCGTATTTTGAGTTGAGTCTAAAGAGACAAGTAAACACCTACGGTAACCTTTTGTCTTCCATGCAGTCTGGAAATACATCAAGAGTGCTCTCAAAGGACTTTCTAGATGTACGTGACAACGTGTGGCATCGTATTGCTCTCCAAGGTCCACGCATCTCCCGTGTCGCCCACCATTCTGGTAGACTCATCACTCATCCATGGTTTACCCCTTTGTGCTTCACCACTAACTAACCTGTCTTGACAGTACCCTAACAAGATCAGTGCTCCATCAAGGTAGCATGTATACAGTTCTGCTGGACAACAGACTGGAAAATATTGAACATGGATTGAAGAGCCGTCCCCTTTTATTCCTGGACAGCTCTGCCAGCTACATAGAAGCTAATTAAGCTATATTAGCTCCAGACTAGCTGCTGTTGCAGCTGTGCTGGGCTTAGACAGAGCCGCAACTACGCTTTTGCGACTTCGACTCTGACTTGACACAGGTTCAACTCATCAACCAGAAGGCAACTTTGAAGCTGCGGTATCTTTTCGTCTCTTGTTGCTGTAGCCAGTGTATTAGGTACTTGGGGGGAAGCACATCAATGGGTGTACTGAGTTATTCCCTCTCCAAAGAGCTTCTGTTAGACGTGAAAGGCCCATACCCATCGATATGAGCAGCACCGAGAAACGATCTAGAGCTCTCCGGCCCGGATCCAATACCATTCGCACGTAGCGATATGGCGCGCTGCTATGAGTGTGACCAGTCATCTTTATCGCCTATGCTCAGAGACGAGAACTCGGACGATGGGCTCCCAGATTGTCGTCGAGAGCCTCGACGACCAAAGACACCAGGGCCAGGGCTCCGTAAAGCCAAAGAGCTGTAGAAACGTCGCCGTGGCTGGGGCCGTGACATTCAGCTAACCCCTCAGTCAAGGCTGACAGGAACCATAATCGCGGTCCCTAAACTCGTGGCGAAAGGTTCAAGAGATAGCATGCTTAAGCCACCCTGGCCACTCCCAAATGTACCAGTCCTGCTCCCTGTCTCTCTGATTTGACAAGTACGTAGGCTCGTGCCGTTCAACGATGCCGGACCCGTCTCTATTGCCTACGCCAGCCCGATTCCGCAGGCCAGTCATGGAATAGCTCCAACCAGACTCTGGAAAGAGAGAACACTGACGCCCGCAACTGCCACTGCTATTACATCTGAACCCTTGTAAAAGAGTCCACCCCAAATCGCAAGCTCCGCATGCCTAAAACCAACACTTGCAAAAAAAAAACTAAAAAGAAAATCCGAATGTCTGCTTCTATTCAGGAAGTGTGACCAAAGCTTCTTACTAGAAGCAACCGTGTACGACGAATCAAGGTCATAATAGCTGCCCCAAGACCCTGCCTGATGTACCCTCATGAAGCTGATTTCATCACTGCTTCGAAGAGCAAAACCTGGGCTAGACAATCCACCAACATGTTCGGCCTGGCCTTTATGATATCGCCAACCCAACTTGAAGCATTTTACACGAAAACATCATTTTGTATCCTGGGTCAAAAAATCACACATCCTCCCCCAGTCTACAGCCTCATCCCCCCCTCTCGGCTGACGCTAAAGTGTCTGCTAGCTACAGAAGGTTCCGAGCCACGATCATGCAGAGAAGTCCGCCCTCGGAATTATTGCCAAGGAGATCCAGCAGTTGACTCGGGTCAAATTATTGACTCCTTGGCTTTTTAGGAAGGAAAGTAGCCCACCGAGGCATATCCCAGCTCATCCGGACCGTAAAGGAAATTATAGCGCATCCAGTGTCCGTATCCGTACCTACTCGACTCGGCAATGTGGGATACCGAGATAAGTATTCAGCATGACTAGTTATGCCGGACCCATTTGCCAAGACTAAAGTAATCCCTTAAGGTTGCTTGGAGGTTGCTTGAAGAAGGCAACTACTTCTGGCCTTTTTGTTACATACCCACCGTTTCGATCAGAGACTGAACAAGATATTGACATGACATTCGAACTAAGCCGGAGGAACAGGAACACAGGATGCTAGAAAAGCAGAATGGGGAGAAAACAACGCTTTTTGTGCACCAAGTCTTCGTCTCTGCATTGCTAACCAAATCCAGTGCATTTGTCTTCATGAGCCTACCAATCCGTATGCCGATACACAGTCACGCGGACCAGAGTCACCCATGCAAGACAAAGCTGAACGCCGCAACGGAAACCACGCAGCCAAGCGAAGTCTCCTTGTCCCGCCGCCGTAGGACAGCAGGCCGTCTTACTGAAAGGGAAACGTGGAGAACGCTCTCGCCGCCACCGAAATGTCGTCAAACTTCGGAAGTGCGTCCAGCAACGGGCTTGTTCCCCCCCACACCGTCCGGAAGGTCGGAAGCGGGTTCGCGTTCCCGCCCCCACAATCCCGGATGAGCACTCGGGAGCGGGTTGGATGGGCTGGGCTAGAAATGGTAAGCTGCGCCAAGCCGTCAGCCGTTGTGTTTCTCTGCCCACATTCCCTCTCCTGTCAGCCAGGATTCTCAGCTGTGCGTCCTCCGGGTTCGCAAAGTCGTTGAACATTGGAAAGTCTTTCTCATTTTTCATCCAATGAAAGCAAGCCCTGAACACATGTCGAGGAAGGACGTGCTTCAGCCTTCGGAAAAATTCCCAGCACCCTAACCCCACGGCATTAGGGCTGATACCTCGATCAAGGTATAGCGGCTGCGATTACAGAACCTTCTCTCTGTCTTTTTCCCTTTCGCATCACCCTACCGCCCGCTGTAGCCTGCTCTTTACGGGGAGGGCGGAGCGGACACAAGGAGCGGCATACTTTGGTTGTTTAGCCTATCTGTGAGCTCTGAGTAAATCAACATGCGATAGACGCTCCATGAGGGAAGCGGCTGAAGCGGCTACGGCCGGCTTCCCCGTTCCAGCACTTACACCCGATGGAATATGCGAGGCCTGAGCTGCACCCTTGAATCCCACGATAAGCCCTACGGTAGGGCTGTCACTGGCTATGCGGGCGCCATGTCGGCGGCAGCCAGCCCTTGGGTATTCCCAGGGCCAATCAGTGATGTGCGGTAGTCTTCTAAATCCCACGACGGCGGAGGAATGTTGTTGGACCGAAGCTGGGGCTGAGCTAGAGGTTCCAACGGGGTGTGATTCTGTGGCTGACTGCGCCTGATGCGGCCACCCTGGAGCGTGTTTTCCCGGCAACTTGCAGCACTTACGCTTGCTTGAGAGATAAACTCATGCGATCCAAGTGTGGTCGGGTCAGTATTCTTCTTGTGAGGCTCGATGATTGTCGTTGGAATCCAAAGCGACAGGAATATCCGTAGCGGTCTTCAGTGCCTTTGGACGGCATTGCTGGCCCGACAGGGAATTTTCAAGCTCCAAGGTTCCGTATGCCCATTGACGGCACTGCAGATGAGAAACATTCCCAAAGGTGCTTTGGGATCACAAGATCGACAACATCCACAGACAGGCAGTCGTAAGCCTTTGTCAGCGATCTCTATTTTTATGTGAGAAGTGTATAAGCTTAAAGCGACGCGGGGGGTTTCCTGAAGGACGAATCGATACGTTCGGGATTAGGCGCGATCCTTTTGCCACTGAGCTCATGGCCTCTCTTCGTCGTTGTTTCGAGCTGTCGATCATGGTGAGAGGGTTGGGAGACGAACATCCGAGGACCTTCGATGTATTTTTTTTTTCTCCCGCATAGCCGCTCGCCTTCTGAGCCGCATAGTTTGATCTCTGATCGGTTGTCCGTCGGGAGGCATACGACGTTGATGATGCTACCATGGCTGACTGAGAACAGTGCTCAGATGCGAAGCCACAGGATGAGCCTGCGAGCCTGGCTGATCGTTCGATTACGATAGAAAGTTCTGGCAGGTTCATCCCTCGAGACGGCATTCGACCTGCCGTCCAGTGTACCGTGCCCACCCCGCGTGCAACGAGCCGAGACCCGGTCAATCAGTGAATCGAGGGGTGGCTTTGTGCCATTGATACTGTGTAGTCGGAGATACAGCCCGGTCTACAATGATGATTAGAGTTTGGAGGTCGCCGTTTCAATGGGTTGTCCAACACCGACGAGCCTGTGTCAGATTTTCTGGTTACCAACAGAGTTTTGCTGAGCAGCCGCCTTCGGCACTACCGCGGCCAAATCAATCGACGTTGCTCACGTCTGGGCTGTGGACATCGCATGAATATGCATTGGCATTGTGCGTGTGTCCAGTGACTTCAGCCTTACGCGAGCCGCTTGGATTCATTGGCGACAACACGGGTGTTTGCACCCCCGCTGTCACGCTGGATTCTCTTTGTAGATGTCCTTGGAACGGTCTGTGATGCTGGGATAATTATCATGGGAAAAGCATCGACCACACGAATCCAAGCCAGCCAGTAGCGGTGAAATCTTTGGTTGCATTGCTGAAGGAGTCGTTCGAGACAGGGGAGCTGGATCGGGACATGTACAATGTAAGCTTTGCTAGGTTCAGTCCTGGATCCAGCGTCTGAGCTATGCGCAACAGACCCTCGGACGAGACGAATGAGACAAGACGTTCTGCTCTTGGAGAAGATCTGACTAGGGAATTGGTAATTTTTTTTTGGTGGTGCAGGAGTTTGACGACTAGCAAGGGCATTTGTGCTTCCACCATGTCGTTAGAAGTGATGCTGCTACTCCAAATATCACTTTTCTGTGTATGAGTGTGCGTGGGTGAGGGTGCCAATCGAGACAGAATAAGTGGGAGAACGGCGAGAAAGCTGTGGCATATTCTGGTTTCGAACAGTGGCCTCCGCCATTCGTACAAATCGAGCCTCGTCCGCCATAGCTGCAGGCACCCAGCAGTGCTTCTTCTGGGCATTTGCTTGGAATGCCTGAGCTGGGCTACAAGAAGCACCGATGAAGTGAGTGTATCGCTGAATATCTGTTGGCCTCGCAGTATGCAACGAATCCAGGATGTGCGAGGAGCAGATACGGTGGTGGAAGGGATCACTGGGCCGGGGTTGAGGCCTCAGCCGCCATAGACTCTTGTAGATCATTTCCAGCAATGGGGTTTGGTAGATGCCCATGGTGAAGTTTGAATAGCAGGAGCGGTGAATCGTCCAATGTTTCCGATGGGCGTTGCTCATTTCTTCGGCTGATCTGGCCGTGGAGCCACAGCCTGCCTTCCAGAAAGAGATGACACAGCGGTCTTGAGTCAGGAGGTTTGACGGCATAGTTGACTACCTACTTCAAGTGTCCAGATAGAGTCCAGACTTGGGTTCACGAAAACGAGGCCAAGACACAGACGAGGCGAGACTGAGAGGAGAGGGGGTCATCGTATGTGCGTGTTGCGGTAAAACGGAGGGAGGGTGGCCGGCGGACGGCTAAGACGGCTGGGTACGGGTTCCTGTGAAGGCAACACTTCCATGCAACGGGAAGCTCGAGACGCGGTTGATGCCCCCAGGGATGTTGGAGATTTGCTTGCGCTGGCACACTGCGGAGTCTCTGGATGCGGAGTGGAGTTGCTGTCCGCCGGGGATCCGTCTCGGTGCCCTGGTGTGTCCGTACGGACCTATCTAAGTTTCTGAGAAAATAGATTAGGTCGCCGAAAGAAATGGCATAGTGATAGTAGATGGCCAAGAACAATCAGCCTGGCACGTCTGAGCTGGATTGCGGGAGAGGCCTGTGACGAGGTTGGAGATAGTGGGTAGCAGCAAATCCATCGCAAGAAGAGATGACGAAGATGATGGTCACCGAGGCCTGGGTAAACTCTGATTAGCCTGGAAGATGCAGTAGGGCAGTTCATTTCGGATGTTGCTCGACAGGCAACGTCAACATGATGAGTTGAGGCATAAGACGGCAGGTTACAGGTGTAAGTTGGTGAGGGGAAAAGGACGGGGAGGTACCCCAAGGCGCAACGCTGTCGTCGTAGGGAGCCCATAGTTGCTGGGAAATAGCTGTGTGACCTGAGTCTGTGAGTCTGTAAGGTGCGGTAGGTTCGGTCAGGTTGCATTTGCTCGCGCAGGCGGCGCAGCCATAGGGCCATTGGATTTAACGTTTCTCGGTGGGCAGAGGCAGAGCTGCATACATGACCGGTGAGGAGGGAGGATACCCTTGCCGGAGGTCATGCAGAAACGGGAAACGAACGCCGTGGACCTGAAGCCCCCCGTGGTCCCCCGTGGCACCCCCCGGACGAAGTGTTTGTCTGGAAGATCGATGCGATGCGATGCAGTGCAGTGCAGTGCTGAGCTGCAAGGCTGGTGCCGGTGCCGGTTGCCAGTGCACCAACGTCTCGAGAAGGGGGTACGTGAGCAACAGGTAGATGAAGGAGCTCGCAACGGATGGAGACAGGGAAGGGGGAAATCAATCAAGGTGTTGCGAAGAGAAGAAAGCACAACAATGGAAGAAGTGTCGTAAGTTGTAAGCGTACACGCATACGGATAGAGGGGTGTAGGCACTCGGTACTGTGTTGAATGAGCGAGGGAGTTGAGGCTGTCTCGGAGAGAGCATCCGTCCCCACGCACTTGGGCAGGAGTGGAAAGGTCCCATCTACTTCAGGGCTCGGTACGGAGCCAGCCAAGCCGGAATGTACCTTAACTCGCCCTGTCTTGGATCTGGACCTTGTTGGCCCTGTCAGCTGCTGCCTATCTCAGACCTGCCAGGCCCAGGTGGCAGGAGGAAGAGGAGGAGGAGGAGGAGGAGGAGCGCCAGACGGCATGGCCCGCTGCGAAACCCAAGGGGCGCCTCAGACTACATTCTTCGCACCTTACATAGGTACGGAGTACATAGGGAAGAAGACTACTGGTAGGTAAGTACCTACTACACAGTAGGGTTGAACACTCGAGGATACGCTTCCCATGTGCCTGCTGCTTCATGTTTCTTTGCTTGGTGTAGGTATCTCGCTTGAAGCTCGAACAACCTAATCCAAAGGGAGGAGGAACCAGGAGATGCTCAATTGCTGTGTGTTGATGAGGCAAGCACGGGACGTATTTGCTCCCGGCCACCACTCCTCTCAATCTCTCCTGCGGTGTGCGGCAAGGTACTTTACGGATTATGGATCACGAAGCTTTAGACTTTAGACTTTGACGCCTCCATCATTCACATCCCCGGCGTCTCGTTGGCACCCTGGCATCACGGAGTCACGGAGTCACGGATCAGCTACGGAGGTGCGTCTCAATAGTCCTTGCAGTCGCTGCCAAGCCCCAGACCCACAATTACTGCCCATCTGAACCAATAAGAGCCTAGGGATTGATCTTGACCCACTTTACTTACTTTCCCCCCAGCACTGCCCATAGCAACGATTTTACCCCATACACCGCCATTACGATACTACCACTAATCCTACGATAATATCAAAACCGCCAAATCGCTACTTACTACGCTGCTCTTTTTTCCTCAGTATGGATCCTGAGATGCCGACAAAGAAGAAGCTAGATCCAGGCGTCAGGGCAGTGATTCTTGCTCTACGAAGTCGACTTGTTGGGTGGACTGCTGAACAGGTCTCTCAGGCTCTAGAAATTCCAGTTCGAACTGTTTACGACGTTCTTGCCCGCGCAAAAAAGAACGGATTCGACCCAACTGCTCCTACCTTCTCGATTGAGCCCGCCTATTACGAAGATGCCCCCCGAAGTGGCCGTCCAACCAAATAGACGAAAGAGGTCAACGATGCCGTCATCCGCAAGGTCTGCCGCGACCGGTATGGGCGTGAAAAGAACTGTATTGATATTGCTGGGGACCTATTAAGGGACGAGGGCGTTGACGTATCTGTAATGACTGTTTGGCGAATCCTTCGTCGCTATGGCTTCCACAAGACTAAACCAACCCGCAAGCCAGGCTTAACGAAAAGGATGCGGCAAGAGCGACTTAAGTGGTGCCTCGACCACCAATACTGGACCCTCGACGATTGGAAGCGGGTTATATGGTCAGACGAGACCGCGGTTGCCCTCAACCACCGCCGCGGTAGCTATAAGCTCTGGCGTCGCCCAGACGAGGCCTACTCTAGGCAGTACATACGAGAGAGGTGGAAGGGTTATTCCGAATTCATGTTTTGGGGGTCTTTCTCATACGATTCGAAAGGGCCGTGCCACTGTTGGATTCCCGAGACTGCTGCTGAGAGGAAGGCTGCCGACGCAGTGATTACCGAGCTTAACGCAGAGCTCGAGCCCGTTCGACGTCAACAGTGGGAGCTCGAGAGTGGTATGGAGCGAATGGGCTTACGGAACCAACCGGGCCGTAAGCCCCAATTCAATTGGAATGCGAAGTCGGGCAAGTTAATACGGAACGGCAAGGGCGGAATTGACTGGTACAGATACCGCAAAGAGATCCTATTACCCAAATTATTCCCTTATATCAAAGGATTACCTGGTAATCCAATCGTACAAGAGGATAAGGCACCCGCTCACGACCATCACTTCACCCACTATACGTATAGCCTTTTCGAGATTACGAAGCTTCTCTGGCCGGGTAATTCGCCCGACCTCAATCCCATTGAACCTTGCTGGCCGTGGATGAAGAGATGGACCACCAGGAAGGGGGCGCCTTCGTCACGGGCCGAAGCAGTACGTCGCTGGCAAGAGTGCTGGAAAGCATTACCGCAAGAGGAGATCCAGAAATGGATAGAAAGGGTACCTCACCACATCCAACAGATAATTGCCCTAGAGGGCGGCAATGAATACAAAGAGGGTCGTCGGGCTGGATTATACCGTCAAACGACCACTAATTGACCTCAATTGACGACTTTTTACCGCTGAATTGACGATAATTACAGTGGGTGGAAGTGGCCGAATTCTGCCGCTTGTACACACCCTAGCCAGCCCCTTGTCGACTCCCCTGTCTATGGCAGGGGTTGGTCTTGGCAGCAACTGCAAGGACTATTGAGACGCACCTCCGTACAGACACCAGCTAATACGGATCCCAATTTCTACGAATACTTTTCCTTGAACAGGCATCGAATCGATAGATCGGTCTGGATCAACACATCAATTTCTGCCCAACAAATTATTCCGCTTGGCCCGGTCTCATTTCCATCTACCTGATCCCATCGTCGCCATCTAGTCCCAAGTGTCATCTATTCATGCCTAGTGTACGGAGTAGGTAAACAACAAATGACTGGTTCACACAGTCCACACTGAGTACTGCGTCAGTTTGTCGACACTCGACAGGAAAACGTCCCTTACTCTTAGTCTTGGACTTGAACCGACTGATCAGGCCAGTTCCACCAACAAGTGCCAACTCTGTCCAGGGATCGGCCATCTGTCAATACTCTGCTCCAACCAACAAACTTGGATTCGGGCTTTGTTTGCTTCATCGACAGCAACCTTATCCCCGCTGTCACTCCAAGTTAGCCTTTGGCGGAATACCCTGACATACCCCGAGCAGTCTCGCCCCCCGCCCCCCTCGCGTCTGTGGAAGCATCTCGTCCAGCCTGGCCAGTGCCCTTGAGAATTCTCCTTGGTCGAGGGGTGAGAGGGAGAGCTGGAGCCAGACCCTTCGTCTCTCAACTCAGACGAGTCACGAACGACGTCAAGGAGTCCCCCAAGCTTTCTGGAGACTGACTGCCCGGACCACGTGCAGCCACCAGAAAGAAGCCTGAAGGTACCTACAGATGGTGATTCTGTACGAATGGACAAATAGAGTCTGAGATGTTGCTCAATACCATCGGCTTGTCCAACCTATTGGATGGCCCTCTCCCTCGTACACCCACTTCCGATTCGGTTTGACCTCGCCGGACAGCTACCTTATGCTGGCTGCTCTCCAGACTGGGACCAACCTCCTTAGGTTTGGTTATATTACACCTCGACTCGTCCCGACCTGGGTTTCCCATCTTCATGACATCAGAAGAGAAGCCTGATAAATCAAACGCAAAAAGATTGCCCTGAGTCTGAGTCTGAGTCTGCCTACATTGCTGTGTGTAGGTATCCATCTATCCTTACTTTGAACACATGCCCCGGCGGACTTTCAGCCAGCACCAGCACTCCGGCCACACAAGGTCCATCCAGTCTCGAAAGCGATACCTTAACAACTAAGACTGACCAGTTCACTTGGCAAAGACGCGCGAACGCAGACTGCCATTGCTTTTCATCCGGACATCGTTGCTCGTCCTATCTATCTCAAGTCCCTGAGGTCACCGCACTTGTTGATCGTCACCACATATGCCTCTGGTGCCAATAACCCTTTAAAAGAGGCATCCCTAGACACCCGACGTCTATCGTCCCGTACCTGTCTATATCCGTAC